AATGGGCAAAATGGCCAGCAGCAGCAGGGACTGAGCCATCCCCAACTCCCCCCCCCTCGCACTCCCGGACTGGTGTGAAGAATTATAGAAACCCCAGGACATGGACACCTCTACCTCTGGTCCGTTAGATGAGCAACGACAAGACCCTCCACAGGATATGGAAGTAGAGGTGCTCCCGCCAACGGCTCCCCCTGCAGAAGTTCCTGGCCCGCCACCCCTCTCTGCCAGTGAAGAAGTCCGACAGAAAATCGCTTTTTGACTGAATGACACTCACGAAAATCTTCTCATTGACAAATGAGAGACCGGGGGACAGGCTCAATAACAAGCATTGGGGGGAGGCCAAGAGGGTTCTCATGTATAGCCCCAGAGTCTTGGTCAGAGTGGAAAAGTACTAGACTATCACCTCCATTGACTGGATGGAAGTGGGAGCAGCCATTGTCCTGGTGGTGAACAGATTCCTGGAGAAAATACACAGCTACACCAATGACGTCTTCGACGGGAAAATCACCCACAAAAACCAATGTCAGGATGGCAGAACCTCTGAAGAAGCGTTCTTTCATGAGGGGCCTGGCCCAAGCTGCTCGTGCAAGAACTGTGCACCACGCCGCACTCCATTCCACCGACGTCACCTCGGCAGCAGGCGGACGACCAACAACATTTGGCTCTTCAGCATCAATCCTCAACCTGCCCCGCGGGTGACCAACTGCACCATGGAATGGCAATGGGAATGCATGATGAGAATGGACAGCATCACTGGAACACACGCCACCTGGATTGCCTACCCCTCACTCAACACCCACGTCCTGCGTCACAGCAAGGCCAGCTACTGCCCCAGCAGGCTGTGAGTCCACCACCCCAGCAGTTCGTGTGTTCACCGCCCCTATCCGAGAATGTTCCTTCGCAGCTGGACAACGACCAGCAGAAGGAAGACAACGAGTACGCGATTGATACTTGCAACCCCCTCCAACAGCATCATAGGGCAATTCAGATCATCCATGATGATGATGAGGATGACCCTCGCCTTAACCCTCCCCCCAAGAAGTTGAGACAACTAGTGAGATTGGAGGAAGATGGCAGCACTCCGGTGGCTATGCCTCCAGGGGTTGTCATCCTCCCCCTCACCAGAATGAAGAAAGGGGGACAATGGGTGTTGGGCCTCCGGCCGCCACAACAGGACATCCCCCCTTCACAATCAGCACCTCCGGATGGCCTGACGCTGGATGGTTGGAGGGGTAATCCCTCAAAGGCAGTTATCCTTAAAAGACTCAAAAACTGGGTCCGGGAGACGAGCAAGGAAAGTGTATTGGGGGTGGTGCTGCCAACATCTCTCCCGTTCCCTAAAGGCATTATTCCCATCATATTGCTCATCGACTCAAGGATGCATTTGCAGAAAGATTCGACCTTTAGCTGGTTTACCCACCAGCAACTCATGGACCTTAGCACTTCACGCTTCATAACCAACATTGCCTAGACGCTGAGCAAAATCTTGATTTTCATGCAAACGGTCCTAGAAGACAATGTGTTGGAATAACACAATCAGGGGGATGACCCCCCCTTCGTCCTCCCCATTAAAACGAAGGACTTAGGATTTATGAATGCTTGTTATACCGTACCAAGAAGCTGAATGAGCCAAATCACAGAGTCTGACTCCCATAACTGTCAGGGCTCAATGGACATCTCGGCCAGTAAACCTCTATCACACGCCGCCCGCTCAACCACGCCCGCCCCCCACAACTGCACAGACCCTACAGATACCCACGTCTCTGCCCGCTCATCCCCGTCACCCACTTCCATGTCCCCCATCTCCCCCTGTTTTCCCTCGAATTAGAAATCCCCCAGTGGGCGGCTAAGCTGGCTCGAGCGGATATAGATATTCGCTCACTAAATGTCAATGGCCTTATCCAAACAACGGCAGACAAGAAAAATGCCATATGGGATATGATCAAATCCCCAGTCACAGGCGGGTGGCCTGATGCAGTGTGCATTCAGGAAACGCACCTCCAGAACACCCCTCAGCATGCAGCAAAGGCCAAGCTCATCTGGCCCTACACATGCTTTTCAGCACCCGCAACAGATAGAGCATTGGCGAGAATGGCAATATGGTTGCCGCCATCCTCAAAACTCAGACCGGTGTCGATACAACATGATCAACAACAAGGTAGATGGGTGTATCTTAAAGTGGCATACGATGAGGAAGAGTTTTATCTTGTTAATGTGTATGCACCCAACGATCCCACCGATAGGGTCGAGGAGAGCCGAGGGAGAGGAGAGAGAGAGGGAGAGAGTGAGAGCACACACACACACTCACTCACTCGACACGACTAAGGGTCGGACGCAGACACAGTGGCAGGGACACAAAGTCGAAGTCTTGGATTCCGAATGTCGAAACAGGAGCAAGTCACACTGAGTACGAGTACAGCAACTGAAAACTAGTACGAGACTGGGCCCCCGTACTGTACGGGGCACCGGTATAAGTACCGGGTGTCCGGTACAGTACCGGAGGCAGATCTGCAAAAGCCCCGAGGGCAGAATTGAAAAGTGCGGTATTTGAAAGTGGCGCCCGAATTGCAGCATGGCCCCAGTTGTCCAAAATCCGATGGTACCAAAGGAGGGGTTTGGAAAAAGGGTGTCAGGCCGAAAACGGGAAGCAGCAGAAACAGCAAAAAGATGAACCAAGGATCGAGCCCTGGCGGAGTCCGTAACTTTATCCCCTCCCTCTAGAAGGCAACGTCCCGGCTGCAAATAGTCATGAAGCCATGCTGAAAGCTGTGAAGGACGGGACAGGGCCGATCATTTGTCAACAAATCGAAGGAGGAGGAGGGGTATAATGTAGGTGATAAGGCACAGGGTGTCGTGTTGGTGGGCTGTGAACAGGGTTATCCTACTGGTGGGCTAAGGGTATTGCAGGGAGACAGGATAGTCCTATTCATATTTTACAAGAGGGAGCAGGTAACAGGATATCCTACTGATGTTCTACAAGGGTGAACAGGTTATAGGGTATTCCTACTGATGTTCTACAAGAACAGGGTATTCCTATTGATGTTCTACAAGGGTGAACGGGGTATTTCTATTGAAATTCTACAAGGTTATGGGTTGTCAGGGGACGAAAAATAAAATAAAAGAATTGTATGTTGCAGGTTCAAGGGCACAGTTCACATGTACAAGGGCTGGGGTGTCTGATGGGATCTGGGTACACAGTCTGAGGTCTGTAATGGGTTAAGGGGTCTGGGGGGGGTCTTCAAGTGTCTTGATCCGCAACAAGAAAGGGGTCTTCGGAGGTCTTGAGCAGGTCCCAAAGTAGGCAGCAAGGCGGTCTTCAGCGGTTGCGACAGGAGGTAGTCGTAGAGGTAGTCCAAAAGGCCAAAGTCGAAGTGCTCAGGTGCGTCCGGTACATGATTGGCAATGGAGTCTGATCCGGTAGCAAGGGAGTCGCAGACTGGTACATGGTTCATGTGACAAGTAGCTGCTCCAGGGAGTCTGCGAGGCAGGGTGCCGGCCGTTGTAGCAGCATGGTGGCCAATCCAGCTGCATAATCTCCATGAACAGTGATGCAGCAAGCCATCGCCCTCGTGCGCATGCCATTAGATCCTTTATCGCCAGTCGTCACGCAGGTCCACAAACATTGGACAAGATGGACAAGGAAGTGGAGAGGACGATTGGGGCAAGGCTAGGCGAGGAACAAGGGTAGATCAGACATCAGGAAAGTGAGTCAAGGGCAAGGGTGGTTGTGGCAGGGGGGTGTGTAGAGCAAGGTGGCGAGGTTTTAGCAGGGTTTAAGCAAGGGTTCAGGGTTTAGTCAGGGTGTGGGCAGGGGGGGTAGCTAGGATGCAGGGTGGGAATGATCATAGGCGCGGACAAGTCTCATGGCATTCTTGAGATTTTCAAGGGGTTCCCATGTTGATTCTTCGTCAGGGTATCCGGTCCATTTGACTTTGTATTCGGTGATTGGTTCCGGATGGTCTGCGACTTGGGTTGTTCTTCTTCCTATGATKGATTCGACTATGAATTCTGGTCCAGTGGGAAGCATGATAGGTGGAGGTCGAGGATATGGGCGATCAGCGAACTGAGGCGGGGATTCGTGGTATTCCTTGAGATATTCTACGTGGAAGACTGGGTGTACACGGCGCATGTCAGGGGGTAGCTGGAGTTTGTAGTTCACGGGAGAGGTTTGTTCAATGATGGGGTAGGGACCGAGCCACTTGTTCGAGAGTTTCTTGGACAAACCCTGTTCGGGTTCAAAGCGTTTGGTGGAGAGCCAGACTTTGTCCCCTGCTTGGAAGGTGATATCACGGCGATGCTTGTTGGCTTGTTTAGCTTGTTGTTCCTGGGTGTGCTTGATCGACTCGGTTGCTTCTCTTAGGAGACGGTTCATTGTTGCAACCCATTCATTGAGAGAGGGACATGGGGAGGATGGATTGAGTTGCGAGGGGAGCAAGAAGTCAGAAGGCAAGCGTGGGTGATAGCCAAGGTCAAGGTAGAAGGGGGACATGCCAGTGGAAGGGCAAACGGCATTGTTGTAGGCAATCTCGGCGGCGGTGAGCAGCTGATTCCGATCGTGCTGGTGGGGATGACAATACTTCCGCAAGATTCTTTGGAGAGTATCGTTCATCTTATCGGTCTGTCCGTTGGTCTGTGGATGGAATGCAGTGCTGTACCTGAGTGTGGTTCCGTAGGCATTGAAGAGTTGTTTCCAGAATTGGGAGAGAAAGCGGGGGTCACGATCACTGATGATATTCTCGGGGAGGTCGTGGTGTCTGGTGACATGATTGAAGAAGAGAATGGCAATGTCTTTGGCGTTGTGCGAGGTGGTGCATGGGATGAAGTGAGCACGTTTGGTCAGGCGGCAAACAATGACGTAGATGCAGTCGTGCCCACGGTCGGTCTTGGGAAGACCGCACACGAAGTCCATGGAGACGGACTGCCAGCGGTGGGTGGGGATGGGCAATGATTGAAGCATGCCGGGCTTAGCCCGGTTCGAGGGGTTGACGGCCTGACACGTGGGGCACGAGCGAATGTAGGCTTTGATGTCGGCAAGGAGGGAAGGCCAATGGAAATAACGGGAGATGGTATCAAAGGTTTTCTGGAAACCAAGGTGGCCAGCGGTCTTGGCGTCGTGGTGCTCGGCCAAGAGCTGGGTGCGGAGGCCACGGGCATCAGGGATGCAAAGTCGGCGGGTGCCTTTGGTTTCAATGTAGAGAAGGTTGTCGTGGAGGGCGTAGCCGGAGACGGAGTTGAGGTCACGGAGTTTGTTGTAGATGGTGGAGAAGTTGGGGCAAGAGAGGTATCCTTGGGTGTAGCGATGGTGGAGCGATGGCAGGAGCTGGATGTGGGTCATGGCGGCGTAGACTTTCTCAGGGGGCTTGTGGTCGGGGCGGCGGGAGAGGGCATCGGCAACACGGTTGCTTTTGCCGGGGGTGTGGCAAATGGTGAAGGTAAATTGGGCAAGGAAGTCGAGCCAGCGGGCTTGGCGTGGGGTGATGTCTTTCTTGGTAAGAATAGAGGAAACGACGGTGTTATCGGTGCAGATGGTGAAGTATTGCCCGTCGAGGTACGGGCGTCAGACTTTGAGGGCATAGATGATGGCGAGGAGCTCCTTCTCGTTGTATGGGTAGTTCATTTATGCGGGAAGGAGTTTCTTGCTGGCGAATGTGATGGGGTGCTCGCCGGGTGGGCATTGGGAGTGAGTGGGGGAGTCCTTGATGGACGGGGTTTCCGCGGGGTCGGGGGGAAAGTGTTGGGATAAGATGGCCCCGATGGCAAAGTCAGAGGCATCCGTGGTGACGAAGAAGTGGCGAGTGGGGTCGGCGATTTTGAGGACAGGGGCAGTGGTGATGAGCTCCTTGAGTTTGTCGAAGGCGGCTTGGCGGCGGTGTGTCCAAGCGAAGGGTTCGGTGGCACGGGTGAGCTCACGGAGAGGGTAGGAAACGTCGGAGAAGTTGCGGATGAAGGGGCGGTAGTAGTTGGCGAGTCCCGTGAAGGAGCGAAGTTGGGTTAAAGTGGTGGGAGGGGGGAACTCGACGAGGGCAGACACCTTTTTGGGGTCCATGCGGATGTCGTCGGTGGAGACAATGTGATCAAGGTATTTTACACTAGAGGCAGCAAATATGCATTTGCTGAGCTTGGCGTAGAATTTCTGGGCATGGAGAATGGCGAGAACTTGGCGGAGATGATCAAGGTGGGACTCGAAGGTGGGGCTAAAAACAAGGATGTCGTCGAGGTAGATCACGACACAGACTTCGAGGAGGTCGCGGAAGATGTGGTTCATGGTGGATTGGAATGTGACGGGGGCGTTGGTGAGACCGAAAGGCATTACGAGAAACCCGTAGTGCCCGAAGCGGGAGTGGAAGGCGGTTTTGTGAGTGTCCTCCTCGCGGATGCGGATCTGGTGGAAGCCATTGCGGAGGTCGATCTTGGTGAAGTATTTGGCTCCACGGAGGCGATCAAGAAGTTCGGATATCCGGGGAAGCGGGTACTTGTTCTTGATCGTGATCCGGTTCAAGGTGCGGTAGTCCGTGCACATGCGGAGTTTCGAGGTGTCGTTCTTCTTGACGAAGAGACAGCTGGTACCGAAGGGGGAGGAGCTAGGCTTAATGAATCCTTTTTCAAGGAGTTCATTGAGCTGGCGCTTCATTTCTTCGGCCTCGGGGACGGAGAGCTGGTATAGGGGGCGGCAAGGGGGGGAGTGGCCAGGTTCGAGATCGATGGTGTGGGAAACACCTCGGTCTGGAGGTAGTCCGGCGGGCAAGGATTCGGGAAACACGTCTTTGAATTCGGATAGGAGGGCGGAGATCTGAGGGTCGGAGGGAGGGTCTTGGTCGGGTTTGTCCGTTGGAAGCAAGTCCTCAGGACGGTCGCGGTCAATGACAAGGCAATAGTAGGCGGAGTCGGGGTGCTCACGGGTCATGTGAAGAAATTGGTGAGGAGAGACGGGGGAAGGGGTGGAGGGAGGGAGAAGGTAGGGGATATCAAAGGGTGGATCGGGAGGGGTGGAGAGGCGGACGAAAGAGGGGTGGAAGGTATAGGGCATGTAGCGGTCGAGCCAAGGAGTCCCGAGTACGATGTCGCACATGAGGTGCATGACATCGAAGGAGACCTGGCTGCGAAGAGGGCCGACAGTCATTGTGGTCTCGGGTACTTTGTGGTCAACGACCATGGCTGAGTCCTTATCCCCTAGGCGGATGGTGAGCGGGGAACCATAGCCGGTGGAAGAGAGGCCGGCTTTGTGGACACAGGCATCCGTGAGTGGCACCAATGTCGAGAAGGGCCCGGAACTTCACCGTCGATGCTCCAAAGGAGACGGCAACGAACTTGAGCTGGAACTGGGCGGTCCCGGCACAAGCGGAGGAGATCATGGCGTTGAGGCGGCGCTGCTCGAGGCCTAATCTAACAAACCGAGTGTGTCGGTCTTGTTCCTCAACGAGATCGGAGAAAGTGATGGTGGAGGGGTTGGGGAGGAGGGTAGTGGAACATGTGGCCGTGGGTTGCTCAGCCAACGGAATAGAGGGCGTCGTCGGGAGGAGGGCAGGCGGAGTAGACTGCGACGCTTGGGGGGTGTCCGGTGTGAGAGTCGTCGCCGGCAGACGAATTGTTGATGCCAGGACATGGCTACAAGGGGCGGGGGGACAGTGTTCAGGTGGAGGAGGGCCCAGAGGCCGCAGTGGAGGAGGAGGAAGTGGATGTGGGAGGGCTGGATCCGGCGGGGCGGGAAGAGTGGTGGGTGGAGCGGCCGGCCTTGGGGCAATTGGTTTGCTGATGCCCCAGTTGGCGGCAACGGAAACAACCGCCATTGGCCTGGAGGAAGGTGCATTCGGCGGGGGTGAGCTTTTTGAGACGAGGGGGTTGGGGGGAGGAGGAAGGCTGGGAAGCCAGGCGTTGCCGTTCCATCCTCATGAGATGGACAGCCTGGAAGTCTTCCTCGGTGAATTGGGCTGGGTCAAGGAACTCGGGAGAGGAGTTAAAGTTGTCATCGGAGGGGAGTGACGAGTCGTCGGATGCCATGTTGTGGAAAAACCGGGTGCGGTTGGGGGCGGCTGGTCGTTGAGAGCGGAGGTGAGGAAGACGATCATGGTGGAGAAGGCGGGTAAGGAGATCGGTGAGAGGGAGCTCGGGCTCATGGGCGAGGGTTGCGGCGAGGTGGGGGAAACATACCCGCTTGATGCGGGAGATGAAAACGTAGTCGAGAATGAGAGTCGACGGGATGTGGAGGCGGAGGGAGCGAACGGAATGGATGAATCGCTCGGTGGGGCCGGTTTGGCGGAGGTTGCAAAATTGATCGATGTAGTCATTGATGGTCTTTTGCGGACGGAAGGTGGCGATGAGAAGGTCGGCCCATTGAAGGAAGGTGATGCGGGGAAGGTCGTTGGCTCGACGGTTGTTGGCTTCGGTTAACCACCATTGAGCGGCGGCGCCTTGGAGGCGGAAGGTTGCGGTGGGGAGCCAATGAGCGAGGGGCATGTTGTGGAGATCGAAGGCATTTTGACTTTGAGAGAGGAAAAGGAGGACGTCCTCGTGGGGGAGGCCGGAGAATGTCGTGATATCGGTGGCGCGGAAGGAGCAGGGAATGTCCCCGTTGCGGGGGACGATGCAAGCGAGGTTGTTGAAGTTGCGGTCATCGGGAGAGGTGTCGTAGCAGGTGTGATCCTGACTGCGGTCACCAAGGAGGTAGCAAGGAGGAGGTTGGGGTATGGCGGGGTAAACGCCCGAAAGGACTTGGGAGTAAGAGGGGTGGACAGAGGGGATGGTGGAAGTAGTTAGGAGAGGTTGGGTGAGGGGGGAGGAGAGGTGAAGGGGAGTGGTTCGTCTAGTGGTGGAAGCGCTTGTAGTAGGTTGTGAGGAGGGGAGGGAAACGGGAAGGGAAGTGACGGGGGTGGAAAAAGGTGTGGTGGAGGACGGTGGGGGGGTGGTGTTGGATGATGAGGCCTGGACGGCTTGGCCGGCCGAGAGGCTTTGGCCAGATTGGCCGGAGGAGGGGGGTTGGCTAATTTGGCCGAAAGAAGATGGTTGGCCGGTTTGGCTGGCGGGGGTGGATTGGATGGACTGGCCGGAGGAGGAGGGGGGTGGTGACGTCGTGACGACAGTGATGGCGGGTGTGTGGCTTTCGAGGGAGGTGACACGATCGGATATGGAGGTCACGGAGTCCTCGATTCTGCGGAGCGAGGCAGAGAGTGCTTGAAACATGGAGAGGAGAGATGTGTTCTCCCCGGTGCCTGGCTGGTCGACAAGCTCGTGGTGGATATCCTCGACAGAATCCATGCGGAGCGAGCCCATGTTGATGCTTGAGGTGCCTTCGGCCATGGGGGGAAACGAAGGTGGGGCAGAGAGAGAAGATGGAGTGGAGGGGACAACGGAGGTGACAGCAGCGGTGGAGGTGGCAGCAGCGGCGGCAGCAGCGGCGGCGGCGCGTTGGGAGGTCTTGGATTGGCGGGGTGGCATGTGGGAGCGGTTTCTAATCCCAATTTAAAAAAATGATGGTTGATCTAAATCGGGGTTAGAGGAAGTTGTCATGAGAGGGGGAGGGGGGGGAAATGAAAATTTGGGGGCAAAGTTTTGGGGAAGAAAATTAAAATCAGAACGTAGATTTCAAATGGAATAAAATTTGGCGAAGAAAAATTGCAGAAAATTCGGGGTAAAGGAAAAGGGAAAAATTAAAATTTCAGGATAATGAAATTCGAATTTATTCGATTTAATTTTCAAAAAGGGAAAAACTCTTGGGAAAAAAAAAATCTAAATGGCAATAAAAAATTTCGGGCTATTTTACGTGACAAAATATGGACATTTTAAAATTGGAATAAGTGAAACGGTTTTCACCTTTTAGCAGTAGCGGATGCAATACCCAGGGTTCGATCCCTAGACCTCACCCTAACCATGTACAGTATCTGTGTAGACCCCGAGAATTGAACCTGTGACCTGTGTATTCGTAGGCAGTTGGTAGACCTGTCGTAGGTCCATAGACAGCAGGGGTTCGATCTGTAGGTCTATAGCGTAGGAGTCTTAGTGAGTTCTGGAAGCTTAGYTGTAGACCTTCTAGAAGGTAGGCAAGTGRGCAAGTGGTCAAGTGGTGARGCAAGTGGTGGACTAAACCGCAGTGCAACAGCAGTGCAACGGCGGTAGGATAGCGGTGAGTCCACAGTCAGTCAACGGAAGGTCCAGTCAGTCCCAGTCCGGTCCAGCAAGTACCACAGGGGGACTGTAAGCACCAAGGGCCGATGGCAAAGGGGAGACCAACGAGTTTCTGAAGTTTAAATCAAGAGGCAGCGCCCAGCCATTCATTCATTCCCGCGTGAGCCATGCGGAAGCGCTGCCACAGCGACTTGTGCAAGGAGGTCTGCAGATGAGCCCGGAGGACGCAGTGGGCAAGAGAGG